ACAATGGAAAGATTTTATTTGTATCTTTACTTTTTTTAGATCAAGTAATAACACTGCAAATAAAACTATAGTGAAATATAATATATAAATAAGTTTATTTTCAAAAAGCAGGTAAACATAAAAAAATATTTATAATAAGTAAAAAGATGTCATGTAAATAATCCAAACAGGGAGAAATTTTATGAAATTTGAGAACAAAAGTACACAACGGCACCCATATACGACGTCAAAATCATACTGGGAGACTTCAATACCAAATTGGGTAAAGAGGACCATCTTAGAGCATACATAGCTTACATGATAACACTAATGATAACGGATCAAAACTGGCAGAATTCGCTGTAGCCAACAATATGGTAGTAAAAACTACACAATTTCAAAGAAAAGGTATACATAAAGTAACCTAGTTGTCACATGACGGAATCACAAGAAACCAGATAGACCATGTGCTTATCGATGGAAGACATTCTAGCAATATCATTAGCGTACAAAGTCTGAGGGCAGCATAAAGTGAATCTGACAAATTCCTGGTCAGAACAACCATTAGAGAAATAATAACAACCTCCGACCATTAAAGAAATAACGTTTTTTTTTAATGGCCTTGGCATAGCCAACTAGAGAAATTACGTTAAACGACATAAATTAGAAAACACTAAGCAAATACATCTACCTGGGACAGATAATCAAAGTTGACAAAAAAAAACAAACTGTCATAGTTTGAATTAAAAGACATAGAGGAACATGCTGCTAAATTAAAATGGAGCTTCGCAGAACACAATTCCCGACCAAAGGATAATATATGGAACCACAAAATACAAAAATAGAGATTATGGTTAAGGAAGAAAAGTAGAGGAAGACCACAAAGGAGATGGGCTGATAACATTAAGAAGATCGGAGGACACAACTGGAAGCATATGGGGCAAAATAGAAAACGCTGGATTGTTTTGGGGGAGGTCTATGTCCAAAGTTTTATTACTTAAGGCAGAAGAAGAAAAAAAAAAGAAGAAGAAGGATCTCAGGGCGTAGAACGAAGTGCTGAATGAGAAATTTAAGAGATTGATTTGGCTAGTAATGAAAATATTTGTTTAAACAAGTAAAAACAAAATTGGAATAGCTTTTATGATACCTAATTTTATATGGTAAAAGAAAATATAAACCAAAGGCTATAGCGGGATAAGATAGTCAAAATTGCACCATGCTCGATTTAGTTTTGGGCCGTATTGGGACGTTTTTTTTACATTTTTAAAACTTTTGTTCCAAACGTTTAAATCTTTGTTCAAAGTAACAAAATTTATTATCAAACATTTATCTACTTCAGTAACAAGAGCAATTTAAACTATAAAATGTTCTCTAGTATAATACTTTAAATATTTTTTTTCAAAGCGGTAATCCAAACACCCAGAATTAGTATTAAAGAGGTACTTATAAACTTACTTTGTTACACAGTTGATTCAGTCAAAAATTGAGAAAGATCGAGCAAGAGCTATTCAGCAGAACGTCGAAACGCAGTGTTAATAAAAATACAGCATTGGCTTTCCTGAACCTCCATTATGATGTTTACTTTACTATTAACCTCCGACCAATAAATAACCACAATGCATAGGGTCAACGTTATAGTAAAAAAAGAATTTGTTGCTTCACAATATAAAACAATAATACTGGTTATTCTTGCCTGTTATTTTAGACACGACACAATTCTGCTGTCAAATTCATAATAAACACAAAAACAGGGAGCTATTCAACATTTGAGGAAAAGCCCTGCCGAAAAGATAAAGGCCCTAACACGCAAACTGACTAAGAGCGATATAGAGGATATGGCCCTACACACGCAAACGCACTAAGAGCAATATATAATGCGAGCCTGATTATATCATACATGCACGGCGTTGGTAGTTGCGCCGCCTAATATCAACTACCGTTTGGCGCAACTATCAACGCTATGTTTTCTGTTACAATCATGCTCCCTGGATATGCGGGATGTCGGGCTAAGACATGAGGGCCTAAACAGTTAAGTATATATAAAAAATAAACTAATAATAGTATAAGCATGGGTATGAGGCTCTTGTATCTAAGCGGAAGAGTAAGAGATGGACTAGCATGGTACGAGCTTATGAATTTATATAACAAGGATCTCAAAAGTCATAGAACTATATAGATATGCGTTTGTGTATAAATGCATGTACATTGTGATATAATATCACGTATATATGTAGATATATTCGCTAGCTTTTAATTCCACAACTTTTGAGTGTACAAGGGCGTTCTAATTCACGATTCATTTTTCAGAGTCTTTTGAGGTTATGTATTAAAAACATGGAGAAAACGGGGTTTTTCGGTTTTTCAGAAAGTTGTGAGATAAAACTAATGCTTTGAATAACTGATTTTAATTGTAAACAGAAAGATACATGTGAAAATGTAAATTACCATTCATTTAGACACTGATTTTAGAGTTTATATAGCGAAAGCTTAGAAACAACGCCGAAAAACGGGGTTTTTCGTTTTTTTTTTAGCAGGCTGTAGGAAAAAAATAATAGTTTTAATAGCTTGTTTCGATTGTAAAGGTAAGAATACATATAAAAATATGAATTTTCATTAATTTAGACGTATGCTGTTAAGGTTATGAGTCATCGATCTCACTAAAAAACCTAATTAATGTTTATTTTATTATTATTTTTTTTTATTTTATAAAAACTGATATTATTGTATCTTATGGCAGTGTAAATAAATTTTTTATTTTCTATGTAATACTTATTTTTTTTTGTTTTGTTCCTAGGCCCATACAATTTATTGTTAAGGGGTGGGGGTGCTTCAGAAAAATGCCAAAAAATCAGTTTTTTAAATTTTTAGGCATTTTCCACGTTGAAAATGATAATATTACCTATGCCATTCGAAAGAACGGGAAAAAACCCATAAAAAAACATTGTTTTAAAGTTGGCCAAAAATTTCCGACATAACCTAAAATATTACTGAAAATTTCAAATATTTTTCCTTGGCTCAATTTTCAAGCTAAAAATCTGAAAAAAAATCAGGTAGTATTGTATTATTAAACTACGCTTTTATGAATTTTTTCAGATTTTTTGCAGCAATACAGCGTCTAAAAAAAATTTTTTTTCTTTAAATACGTTTTTTCCCATAGCGAACCCCCAGAGGCACCTAAGGACTTGAAAATTTACCTGAGTTTTTAATTATGTCCTTTCGAATGGCCAGGCTCAAAACTAAATCGAGCATTATGCAATTTTGACCATCTTATCCCGCTATAGCCTTTATTTCTAATTATTTTCGTAGCTTATTTTTTTTTAATTATGGGTTAAAAATATATAGTTTATGTAACAATAAAAAACTAAAAACTTTGTTTTCAAACTCCCACAGAATTTATTTTAACTATTATCACTACAGCTGTTTCGGCTGATAGCCTTTCTCAAGTGATCTATTTTTGGCTTGGGTATACAAATTTATAGTCTCTAATGGAATAGGTTGAGGAGGGAAGAACTGTTTGTCTCAAGTTGGTCATTCAGATTTATATCTGTGTTTTTTAATTTGTTGATTTCCATAGATTCTAACAAAGATAGCTTAAGGCCTTTATTTTGAATGTGAAGAATTTTAAATTTGTCATTAAAAGAATGATTATGATCTAGAAGGTGAAGTGCGTATGTCGAATCTGTTTTTCTATTCTTGAAAGCCCTTTTATGTTCTGCTATTCGTTTCTCTAAGTTTCTACCAGTTTGACCGATGTAAGTTTTTGGGCAGTCGCCACATTGAAGTTTATACACACCACTATTTAAGTGTTTTTTATTTTGGCTCTTGTTATTTTTAATATATTTACCTAGGTTGTTATTTGTTCGGAAAGCTGGTGTTATTCCTTTCTTTTTTATGTGTTTAGCAATTTTTGTTGTTATTTTGCCTGTATATGTAATCGAGCAGAAGGTACTGGGTTTTTTCTCTGGTGGTGGAAATACTATTTTCAGGGCTTTCTTGTGTAGTTTTTGATTTAACATTTTATTAATTGTTTGTTCGTTGTATCCGTTGTTTACTGCTATTTGCAATAAATTTGGTGAAAATAGTATTTCCACCACCAGAGAAAAAACCCAGTACCTTCTGCTCGATTACATATACAGGCAAAATAACAACAAAAATTGCTAAACACATAAAAAAGAAAGGAATACCACCAGCTTTCCGAACAAATAACAACCTAGGTAAATATATTAAAAATAACAAGAGCCAAAATAAAAAACACTTAAATAGTGGTGTGTATAAAATTCAATGTGGCGACTGCCCAAAAACTTACATCGGTCAAACTGGTAGAAACTTAGAGAAACGAATAGCAGAACATAAAAGGGCTTTCAAGAATAGAAAAACAGATTCGACATACGCACTTCACCTTCTAGATCATAATCATTCTTTTAATGACAAATTTAAAATTCTTCACATTCAAAATAAAGGCCTTAAGCTATCTTTGTTAGAATCTATGGAAATCAACAAATTAAAGACACAGATATAAATCTGAATGACCAACTTGAGACAAACAGTTCTTCCCTCCTCAACCTATTCCATTAGAGACTATAAATTTGTATACCCAAGCCAAAAATAGATCACTTGAGAAAGGCTATCAGCCGAAACAGCTGTAGTGATAATAGTTAAAATAAATTCTGTGGAAGTTTGAAAACAAAGTTTTCAGTGTTTTATTGTTACATAAAATGAATTTCCATCAAGTAACGGTCGAATTCATCAATTATATATAGTTTAGCTAATTTTTTGAGTTTTTAATCTACCAAATATCAGAATATACCCCGTATGTTTGCTGCTACATTTTAATAATACCCTTAGCCGTAAAAAAGGTACAAAAACACATTAAAGACGTTGTTTTTAATATAAGCTTATAAAAAGAAATCTAATCTACACAAAAACGAATAGCAGAAAACTTTTGTTTGAATTTTTCTTAAATCAAAGCTTTTGACGAACAGAAATCCGAAAAGTAATCTCGAACTTTTTTTAAATTTCAGGAAATGTATTTGGATGACAACAACATCGAGTTTATATCCAACAGAGCTTTTGACGGCCTTCGATTTTTGAAAACTTTGAGCTTGAAAAATAACAGGCTTTCCAGATTTCCAGCCGGATTATTTACAAGTGTATTTACACTTGTTCATCTCGATCTCAGTTACAATCGCTTGGAAACTCTTGTTTTCGACTCAATAGAACAGTTTTACAATAATCTGCTACATAATGGAACAATTCATTTAAAAGGTGAGTTTAACTTTTTTCATTTGGCAATACGAGATTCGGCTTTAGCAAATAAAGGGATCAATATTGGGAATTAGAAATCAGGGATTTGATTAAAACTGTTTATTTGAACAATGTATACTCAAATTTTTAATAAATGTGAGGAAAATTGTATTTATCTCGTTTTTAATAAAAGCAAGTTGTTATTTAATTTAGACTTCGTATGTAATTTAAGGTGAGGAATTAAAAACAATTATTCATAAAGTGTCAAGTCTACTCACAAATAAAAGAAAACAATAAAATATGAAAATTCTAGTGTAATATTGATATAATTTATTAAATTTATAAAATTATGAAAACGTCCACAATGATTATTTTTTTTTAAACGTTTTACAATAACAGATAAATTAAACTTATTATGAAAACTCACAAATAAATCATTTTATGACAAGAAAAGGATATATAAATGAGTGTAATACCTGCAAAGTATCTAATCTATCTAATTAGCATTCTTCGGTTCATCTTTGGACATAGGGTTCCCCAAATCTTTTCCATTCCGCTCTGTCTGTCGCTACAGTCATCCACTTAGACTCCACATGCTTCTTGATATCATCTGTCCATCTCATTTGGGGCCTTGACAAAGGCAAGGGTTTCCTGCCGAAACGTTGATTGATTGCAATGAAAAATAAAATCTAGTTCCACATGTAACATATCTTTATTGAACCTAAACCCAAGAAACATTAATTTTATATTATATAAATATATATATATATATATATATATATATATATATATATATATATATATATATATATATATATATATATAATCCTAAACTTGTTCTATTGTCCGATATCTTATCCGATTCTCATTATGATGTCTGCATCTTTATTTGTTATGGTTTTGGTCTTACTGTAATTCATATTAAAGCCTATCTTTCCAGCTTCTACATCCAGTTCTTTCATCATTTCAAATAATTTTTTTTTATAGGTTATCAATACGATGTCATTAGCATACCTTAGATGGTTTAAGCGTTGTCCACAAATTCTTATACCTTTTTCTTTCCATTCTAATCTTTTAAAAATTTCTTCCAGAGCCTGATTGAGAAGTTTCGGTGATATTGTGTCACCCTGTCTCACGCCTCTATATATTGATTGATTTTGTTCAATCAATAAACGCCTGTATTGATTTTGTTCCTTCATATACTTTAATTGTTGTTTTGGCTTCCTTATATATATTGACTATTAGTTCCGTATATCTGTGGTCAATTCTGTTGTTAATTAAAGAACTTTTCACTGCCCAATGTTAGACACTGTCTATAGCCTTTTCGAAATCTATAAACGCTATATATAGAGGAATGTGGTATTCATTTTCTCGTTCTATAAGTATTTTCTTACTTAGTAAATGATCACTTGTGCTGAATCCCTTTCTAAAACCAGCTTGTTCTTTCGACTGGTATCCGTCGAATTTTGTCGTCAATCTATTGGTTGGAGTAAATATTATTGTTACAAGTTTATACATTACATTAAGGAGTGTTATAGGACGGTAGTTTTTTGTATCTTCTTTATCCTCTTTCTTGTGTAGGATAATGGTTAAGGATTCCTTCCAGTTGTTTGTAATTCTTTTTTCTTTTAATGTCTTGTTAAAAAGAGAATGTAGAGTATTAATTACCACTTTTCCACCATATTTCAGCATCTCTGCAGTTATTCCATCTTTTCTAGGCGATTTGTTGTTTTTCATGTCTTTCAAGGCTTTTTTTATTTCCGATTTGCTTATTTCTGGCAGCAGCTCTAAGTTGTCATTTTTTATTTTAGTTGGTTTTTAATTTCTTCTTGTGGTTCCTTTTTTGTTTTATATAATTCTGAGTAGAAATTGTGTTTGTTTGTTTGTTTCTACTCAGTTTACATATTTTATTTTGTTTATTTCAAACTTAATTAAATTTCGGTATTAAGCATTTTATATTTTTGTCGTTTTGTATTACTTCTTCTATTTTTATTTTTTGTTCTTTTCACATATTTTTTTTATCATTCTGCTTATTGTTTTATTGATTTCTACATAGTCTATAGATTTTATTTTACCTTCTTCGTTCAGCATCCTTCTTTTATCCATAAGCTTCTCTGTTTTTATTTTTCTATCAACGATGATTCCTGATATAATCATCGTTGCTGTGAGTATGTTGTTTATTTCGTTTATATCTTTATCATTACTATCTAATTTTTATGTAAGTTGTTCTTTTAATAGGTCTTTGTATATCTCTTTATATTGCCCTAGTTTGTTTCTATCTACTAGATCCCAGTTTCTAATTATTTTTATTTTTATTTCATAGTTATCTTTAATACTAATTTTTGCTCTGACCATCCTGTGATAGCAACCTGTTCTGAATCAGTTAAAAACTGTTACATCTTTATTAATATATTGTTTCGTGGACAGTATGTAGTCGATCTCATTTTTTGTGGATCCATTAGGGCTGACCCATGTCCATTTTCATTAGGGCTTCTTTTTGTAAAAGGAGTTCATTGCGTATATATGTTTTTCTTCTAGGTAGTTCATCAAAGTAGCACCTCTACCATTTCTCTGACCATACCCGAAATCTCCTATTTTAGTTTCTTCTTTGTTTAGTTTTCTACCCAGTTTGGCATTAAAATGTAAAATTACTAGTGTAAGACGATTTTTATGTTCTTCCATAGCCTTTGATATATCTTCATAAAATAGTTCGATATCTTCGTCATCATAAGCTGTCGTGGTGGCATATACCTGGATAATTTTAGTTGATGTTCTTCTAATTTTAAGTATGACATAGATGACACGATCTGATATAACTATGATAATTTGGACATGCTTACTTATAGCTTTATTTATTATAAATCCTACTCCATATTTACTATTCTTTTCATTTCCTTTATAATACAGTAGATTACCTGTAGCTGTATTCGGTTTTCTTCGTTTCGTCAAGCTTCTGATAGGCCTATGATATCCCATTGTATGTTTGTTAATTCTTCTTCCAGTTCATGTACTTTTTCATTTGTGGACATTGATCTAATATTGTATGTCCCTGTTGACGAATTGACGTATTTTTTTATTTATGTTGTGCTCGTCTTAGTTTGTTTTGTTTTTATCTATCAAAAGCGAATTATTGCCTTCCCCAGATACCGTGAGGCAGACCTTTGAGGTGTGGGATTCAGAAATTTTCTTACCTGGGGACCATTTTATTTTGTTTTATTATTCGCGATGATAAAATGGGGGGGTAACTTTCCAAATAATACTGTGGTAACTTGTTTTACTTTCGAGATTCTGTTTATAAACAATGACCTTCTTTCTTGACTATGACTGCTTGGTTTCGTGCTGATTGTTTCGTTCATTTTGCTTTTTTTTATTAATTATATTTCACTATGTTTTTATATTTACCATAAAGCTACTTTCTTTATATCAGCATAGATAGGTGGACCATTTTTCGTAATTTATTAATTGCTGTGTTAGCGATATATTTTTTTTATGTTGTCGTTCGCTTCTAATTTATCTAATGAACATTAATATTTGTATTTTAAATTTCTACTATAATCATTTAGAACCTTTCATTTATGAACAATGTAAGTTTGAAATACATTAATATTACACTGGCTTCTGCTTTACGCGTCCATTATTGATTCTAAAAGCACTCCTAAATTCTTTCTTGGGGCAATAAATTTGGAATAAAACCAGGCTACGCTTTACAGTTACCCTAAATTATAATTTAAACTGTAACACTACATACATATACTGTTAGCTGTTACAGAAAGCCATTATTGTCACAAATTACGAAGTGTTGTTGCTGTAATCAATTTCCGCGCATATGCATAATGGAGATAAAGTAATATTGGCCACTGTTTATAAACACCTCATATGTATGATGAATATCAAACACATGGCTATAATATATACACACGAACATGGATTGTACATAAGGCACTTGATTTATTAAGTATTTCTTAGGTTTCTAATGTTTAGATTTATTCTTTAATACTTTCGTAAAATATTAAATAAAGAATATGGCTCTAAAATTACTTTCTTTTTGCATATTTATATATATATATATATATATATATATATATATATATATATATATATATATATATATATATAGATATATATATATATATATATACGGGGTGAGTCATAAGAAACTTTACATACTTCTACCATATGTAGAGTCCCTCAGGGAGCAAGCATATCATGTGGCCACTAAAAAATGTCAACTCCTCTTCTTTATTAATTAACAGGGGGATTTGTGTAATTGACCATTTATTTCATTTCACTGTAGTGTTTATACGGCTCATTTAATTTTTTTAATTTTTGCATGATACAGTACACTACTATCAAGCATTCGACTGGTATTAGCTAAACTAAAAAAATCCAGGACTGGCTTTGGAAAAATTAATTTAGGGATTCGTATTAAATATTATACCCTGTATATATATTTTTTAAATGCAATAAGTGATTTTCAAACTACATAAATAGCCAATGAAAACGACATATGCGACAATGTTGTCGCACTTTTATTAAATTTTTAGTGAACGATCAAATCTTACCAAAAATAGAACAACCATAATGAAGTATCAAATTATAAGGTATCAATTTAAACAAATGTTATAAATTTTAAACATTTTAATTAAAATGAGTTCCTACAACATAATCTAATACGTAGAAAATTAACATCTTCACTGTCACTTTGTATTATCTCTACGATAGAATCAATTGTTTTTCAATTTTAAATTTTTACTCATAGATCGTATTGGAGCATTATTTTCGATAAATAATAAATTAAATTGATTAAAAAGTCAAACCTCTTTTATGTGTTAGTTTTTGTTGATTGTAAATGATTAAAATTTTATGTCAAATAATAATACATTGCATCAACTGTACTAAATAAAAATAAATCTAAAAAAGTTTAAAATGAAGGTTGGCATTGACCGTTTGACGTTTTTTGATATTTTATACCCATTGTCATTATTGTCATTATCAATCGTTATTTATGTGTAGAAGAATAC